CCAAGAGCCCGCGGACATGGACACGGCGGAAGCCCCGGCGGGGACGGCCTGAAAGCGCCCCCGTTTCGCGCAGGAACGTGGCCGCGAGAGAACGAGGGAGCGGGGCGCGCGCCCGACCCCCATATAGGAGGCGGGGCCGAAGCGGAGCAAGAGACCTGCCTGATCAACGTAGCGCCGGGGCCGCTTAATCTGCTGCCGCCTCCGCTTTGGGAGGTGTGACTTTGCTGCTAGGTCTCCCCAAAGAAGGCACCCTGAGCCGCTGCTGTTTGACTCCGACGTTGCATCGTTGACTTCTTTTACTTGGGTAACTGGAGGCGTCTGCAGCCCCTCTTGAGCCCACAACTGCTGCCCTGTCTCGATGCTGAAATTCCACGTGTTCCGCAGAGGATGAGAGAATGTTGGTCCTTCGGGGGCTGCCTCTGTCCTGGGTGTTAATGGGATCGTTTGGAAGGAAGGGGGATTGGTTTCAGAGGAGTTTCTTGCAAGCCAGGGTTAGGTTGAATGATGGCTGTATTTTCACCTGAAACCATGGTTAACAATGATTAAGCTAAAACAAAAGAACTGGTGTTATGTCTTAGAAGGCTGTGGGTATCAGGTTATGACATTCAGCAGTAACATGGCTTGTTTGGCTTATTGTGCTTGTGAACCTGCTGTAATTGGTTAACCATAGTTTGTTTAGTGCATTGGACAGATACAGCCAGTAGGTTGTGTGAATGGGTGTTTCTAAAGGTCAGATTTCTTTTGATACCGTCTTGCAATCTTTACTCAAAAATGAAAAAAAAAAAAGCCTCGGTGTTTGTTTCGTTTTTCCCTGCTTCTTCTGTCTAGGAAATGAGCCACGTTTCTCTCCCTTTTATTTCTTGATCCTGTCCTAGGTTGAGTAAATCCTTGTTAGAACATTTTTTTTTTAATCTTCGAGTCTCCTTTGGCACGCTCCTGGCGTCATATTCAATGTGATGTTTCTTCTGATAAAGATTCACTGGGACTTCCTCACAACTTTCTTGCTGTTATTTGAACGGATGAAATGAACAGGCTGGTTGTCTTGTTGATCATTAAAACCACTCTTTTGTGTAACTGGCTTTGGTTTTTATATATGTTGCTTTGTATGGGAACGTTTTACTCTCTCCCCTTGTAGAGGGTTAGGAAGATGACCTTGATGGAAACAGGCAAGAACTGTTTGCTAGGCAAAGGGGGCTGAAACATTTTTAAGCCTTGAGAGATGAGATAACATTCAAAAGGAAGCAGGGGCCTCGTTAACTCCCGGAAGTATAAGGAGGAGGAAGAGGTTCAGCACAATCAGACTTGCAAGACTCTGTTATTATAGCCCAGTGTTTCTCAATCTTGGCAGCTTTAAGATGTGTGGACTTCACCTCCCAGAATTCCCCAGCCAGCATGGCTGGCTGGGGAAT